AAACAGTTTATGCTTCCCTTTTTTTGTATCACATCAATATGAACTGTAAATAAACAGTTTACATAAATATGTGAACATACTAAAAATGTTTATTCATGAAAAGAAACAGAGTCCCTGAGACTGTCCAATAGATCTACAATAGACATAAGGTATGAATCCACTGGGAATTCTTGCATATGAAGTGTTACACACGAAGGTAAAAGATAAACCCCATAATGCTCATTAATTCACCTTTTTTCATGCATCTGAGAACCTAGGCTTTTACTCCATTGGTGTCAGCCTTTTTCTATTTCTTTTTCTATGGGCTTTCTGGCTCACATTTGTATGTTTTAGTCACGATTGTTACTTGAAATGGACACAGGACTCCATAAGGCATCATCTCAGGATACTTGAAGGGTACACGTAGTAACTGAAAAGGATTTTATTAGTGCTGGCCAACAATCACTGTGCATTATGACGAGGGTAATGCCACATGCTGTAGACCTTACCACCAGGCAGTACCACCAAACTAATGAAGGAATCCCTCATGCACATAAAATTTGGCAGGCAGTTTAAATAATGCCATTCTAAACTTAGGACACATATCTGCTATTGTTAATTTCCTATCACTTTATTTCCATAACTTGCAAATTAAATACACATAAATTTATAAAGTGACAAATATATTTAGAAATACATAGTTTTAAGTTGAATCAAACAACTTCTTTAAGCCCTCATTTTCCTAATTATAAAACAATGATAATATACCTCTTTCACGGAGTTTTTGTGAGAACTATATGAAATAACCCTCTATAGTGTTTAACATCATGCTCGACACAGTAAGTACGCATTAAGTACTGGCCACTGCTCTTGGCTATTACCAAGAAGTGACAGATGTCAGTAAATAAAAGTATTTACCGGAGTCTATCTCTAACCCTTCAAGCCAGCCTGGTACATAAATTTAAAATGTCCCTAGAACCAAAAGGTCTGAACTTGAGCATGAGAAACCCAAGATGGACCCAGGTAAGCAAGAGCAGTTGCAGCGGACAGAGAAAAAGTCTTCTGCCTCTGGCCTTTATGCTCCATGTTTTGGTACTGTGAGATAGGCATTATCACTTAACAATCTGTAAGCATATAGTACAGTATTATTCACTACCATCATCATACATGAGGTCTCTAGAACTTACTCATTCTACATAACTAAAAGTTTTAGATCTTGAATATTCTCATCACATACATGTAGAAAGGGTAAATACATGAAGTGATGGGTATGTCAACTAACTTGAATGCAGTAACAATTTCACAAGGACATTACATTGTCCAACTGAAACATAACTTATAAAATAAAAACAAAAGATTATTAAAAAGCTATAGGCAGAAAGTAAATACAGTGGAGAAAATACAATTTGGCTTTTTCTATTTTGAATGAGTTCATGAGTATTAACATTCTCACTTACAAAACTTCAAACAAATCAAAAATATAGTAAGAAAAGCAAGTCCTTTTTTATCCCCCACCCCCATACACACTCTCTTTCCTATCTCACTCTCCTTAGAAGTGATCAATTTTACCAGTTTACAATACCTCATTTAACATCCTTTTTCAGGTCACTTCCCTAAGATATGGACAAATATACAAATACATGATTTTTGACATAAAGGAACCATACTATACGGGTCACTCTGCATCATACCACCTTAACAATATGTAATTGGTATCTTTCCCAGTCAGTTCATAAGTATGTAGTTCTTTCTTGTAATTGATTGAATAATGTTTTGCAATGTACATTTTTAAATCAACTTTTAAGTTCCAGGATACATGTGCAGGATGTTCAGGTTTGTTACAGAAACATGCACCATGGTGGTTTGCTGCACAGATCAACCCATCACTCAGGTATTAAGCCCAGCACACATTAGCTGTTCTTCCTGATGCTCTCCCTCTCCTCCCCCCCGGTGACAGGCCCCAGTGTGTATTGTTCCCCACCATGTGTCCATGTGTTCTGATCGTTCAGCTCCCAATCATAAGTAAGAACATGCAGTGTTTGGTTTTCTGTTCCTGCATTAGTTTTCTGAGGATAACAACCTCTAGCTCCACCCATGTCCATGCAAAGGACATGATCTCATTCCATTTTATGTCTGCATAGTATTCCATAGTGAATATGTACCACATTTTCTTAATCCAGTCTACTGTTGATGGGCATTTGGGTTGAATTCATGTCTTTGCTATTGTGAATAGTGCTGCAACGGACATACATACACGTGTATCTTTATAACAGAATGATTTGTATACCTTTTGGCATACACCCAGTAATGGGATTGCTGGGTCAAATGGTATTTCTGCTTCTAGATTTTTAAGGAATTGCCACACTGTCTTCCACAATGGTTGAACTAATTTACAATCCCACTAGCATTGTAGAAGCAATCATTTTTTCTCCACAACCTCACCAACATCTGTTGTTTCTGGACTTTTTAAATCATCACCATTCTAACTGGTGTGAGATGGTCTCTCATTGTGGTTTTGATTTGCATTTCTCTAATGATCAGTAATGTTGAGCTTTTTTTAAATATTTGACTGCATGAATGTCTTCTTTTGAGAAGTCTGTTCATGTACTTTGCCTAGTTTTAAATAAGGTTGTTTGTTTTCTTCTTGTAAATTTGGTTAAGTGCCTTGTAGACTCTGCATATTAGACCTTTGATGGACAGTTGGCAAAAATGTTCTCCCATTGTATAGGTTGCCTGTTCACTCTGATGATAGTTTCTTTTGCTGTACATAAGCTCTTTAGTTGCATTGGATCCCACTTGTCAATTTCTGCTTTTGTTGCAATTGCTTTTGGTGTTTTTGTTATGAAATATTTGTCCATGCCTATGTCCTGAATGATATTGCCAAAATTTTTTTCTAGGAATTATATTGCCAGATTTTCTTCTAGGGGTTTTATAGTTTTGGGAACTACTTTTAAGTCTTTAATCCATCTTAATTTTTGTAAAAGGTGTAAGGAAGGGGTCCAGTTTCAATTGTATGCATATGGCTAGCTAGTTCTCCCACCACCAATTATTAAATAGGTAACCCTTTTCCCATTGCTTTTTTTGGTCAGGTTTCTCAAAGATCGTATGGTTCTAGGTGTATGGACTTATTTCTGAGTTCTCTACTCTGTTCCATTTGGCATACGTGTCTGTTTTTGTACCAGTACCATGCTGTTTTGGTTACTGTAGCCTTGTAGTATAAGTTTGAAGTCAGGTAGCATGATGCCTCCAGCTTTGTTCTTTTTGTTTTAGATTGTCTTGGCTATACAGGCTCTTTTTCAGTTCCATATGAATTTTCAAAGTCTTTTCTAATTCTGTGAAAAATGTCAATTGTAGTCTAATGGGAATAGCATTGAATCTATAAATTGTTTTGGGCAGTATGGCCATTTTCAAATATTGATTTTTCCTATCCATGATCATGGAATGTTTTTCCATTTGTGTCCTCTCTTATTTCCTTGAGAAGTGGTTTGTAGTTCTCCTGAAAGAGGTCCCTTATGTCCCCTGTTAGCTATATTACTAGGTATTTTATTCTCTTTGTAGCAATTGTGAATGGGAGCTCATTCATGGTTTGGCTCTCTGCATGCCTGTTGTTGACACATAGAAATGCTAACAATCTTTGCACACTGATTTTGTATCCTGAGACTCTGCTGGCGTTGGTTAGCTTAAGAAGCTTTGGGACTGAGATCATGAGGTTTCTTAGATATAGGATCATGTCATCTACAAACAAAGATAATCTGACTTTTTCCCTTCCTATTTGAATACATTTTATTTCTTTCTCTTGCCTGATTGCCCTAGCCAGAACTTCTAATGCTATGTTGAATAGGAGTGGTGAGAGAGGACATCCTTGACTTGTGCTGATTTTCAAGGGAATGGTTCCAGCCTTTGCCCATTCAGTATGACACTGGCTGTGGGTTTGTCATATATCGTTCTTATTATTTTGAGGTATATTCCTTCAATACCTAGTTTACTAAGAGCTATTAACATGGAAGAGTGTTGAATTTTATCGAAGACCTTTACTGCATCTACTGAGTTAGTAATGTGGTTTCTGTCTTTGGTTTTGTTTATATGATTAATTAAATTTATTGATTTGTGTATGTTGAACCAATCTTGCATTCCGTGAATGAAGCCAACCTGATTGTGGTGGATAAGCTTTTTGATGTGCTGCCAGATTTGGTTTGCCAGCATCTTATTGAGGATGTTTCCATCGATATTCATCAGTTTTCCATTTTTTTTTAATTTTTTTATTTTTTATTTATTTATTTTTTTTGTATCTTCGCCAGGTTTTGGTATCAGGATAATGTTGGTCTCATAAAATGAATTAGGGAGGAGTCCCTCCTTTTCAATCTTTTTTGTGAAAGTTTCAGTAGAAATGATATCAGCTCTTCTCTGTACCTCTGGTAGAATTCAGCTATAATTCTGTCTGGTCCTAGGCTTTTATTGCTTAGTAGGCTATTACTATCTCAATTTTAGAACCCATTATTGGTTTATTTAATGATGTACTTTCTTCCTGGTCCAGTCTTGGGAATGTGCATGTGTCCAAGAATTTATCCATTTCTTCTCGATTTTCTAGTTTATATGCATAGAGGTGTTTATAGTATTATCTCATGGTTGTTCATATGTATGTGGGGTCAATGGTGATAGTCCCCTTATCATATTTCATTGTGTCTGTCTGATTCTTCTCTCTTCTCTTCTCTTCTTTATTAGTCTGGCCAGTGATCTATTTAACTTTTCAAATAACTAGTTCCTGGATTTGTTGATTGTTTGAAGGGTTTTTCATGTCTCTATCGCCTTCAGCTCTGCTCTGACCTTGGTTATTTCTTTGCATCTGCTGACTTTGGAATTTGTTTGCTCTTGGTTCTCCAGTTCTTTTATTTGCAATGTTGGGTAGTCAATTTGAAATCTTTCTAGCTTTTTGATGTGGGCATTTGGTGCTATAAATTTTCCTCTTAAAACTGTATTAGCTGCATCCCAGAGATTCTGGTGTGCTGTCTCTTCTCTCTCAGTTTCAAAAAACTTCTTGATTTCCGGCTTAATTTCATTAGTTGCTCAGGAGTCATTCAGGAGCAGGTTGTTCAATTTCCATTAGTTGTGTGGTTCTAAGTGAGCTTCTTGAGTTTTAATTTGATTTTGCTGTGATCTAAGAGACTATCTGTTGTTTTTGATTATTTTGCATTTTCTTAGGAGTGTTTTACTTTTCACTATGTAATCAATTTTAAAGTTCAATGTGGTGATGAAAAGAATGTGCATTCTGGTTTTTGGCTGTTGTTGTTTTTTGTTTTTTTGGTGGTGGAGAGTTCTATATGTATCAGGTCCACCTGATCCAGAGCTGAGTTCAGGTCCTGGATATCTTTCATGATTTTCTGTCTCAATTATCTGTCTAATATTGTCAGTGGGTGTTAAACTCTCCCGCTATTATTGTGTGATAGTCTAAGTCTCTTTATAAGTCTCTAAGAATTTGTTTTATGAATCTGGGTGCTCCTGTATTGGGTGAATATATACTTAGGATAGTTAGCTCTTCTTAGTGAATTGAACCTTTTGCCATTATGCAATGCCCTTGTCTTTTTTTATCATTGTAAGTCCATTTTGTCAGAAACTAGAATTGCAACACCTGATTTTTTTCTGGTTTTTATTTGCTTGATAAATTTTCCTCCATCCCTTTATTTTGAGCCTATATGTGTTTTTGCACATTAGATGTGTCTCTTGAAGACAAGATAACAATGGGGCTTGACTCTTTATCCAGCTTGCCATTCTGTGTCTTGTAACTGGGGCATTTAGTCCATTTACATTTAGCTTAATATAGTTATGTGTGAATTTTATCCTGTCATCATGACGTTAGCTGGTTATTTTGCAGACTTGTTTATGTAGTTGCTTCATAGTGTCACTGACCTGTTACTACTAGTGTGCTTTTGTACTGGCTGTTAATGGTTTTTCCTTTTCATATTTAGTGCTTCCTTCAGGAGCTCTTCCAAGTGAGGCAGGGTAGTGATGAATTTCTACAGCATTTGCTTACCTGAGAATGATTTTATTTATCCTTCACTTATGAAGCTTAGTTCGGCTGGATATGAAATTCTAAGTTGGAAATTCTTGTCTTTAAGAATGCTGAATACTGGCCCCCAATTTCTTCTGGTTTGTAGGGTTTCCACTGAAAAGTCCCCTGTTAGTCTGATAGGCTTCCCTTTGTGGGTAACCTGGCCTTTCTCTCTGGCTGCTCTTCACACAGTTTTCTTTCCATTTCAGTCTATGGAATCTGATAATTATGTGTCTTGGGATTGATCATCTCATGGAGTAACTAAGTGGCGTTCTCTGTATTTCCTGAATTTGCATGTCGGCCTGTCTTGCTAGCTTGAGGGAGTTCTCATGGATGATATCTTGAAGTATATTTTCCAACTTGTTTCCATTCTCCTCATTCCTTTTACATACCTTAATCAGTCATAGGTTCAGTCTTTTTACATAGTTGCATACTTCTTGGAGTTTTTTTTCATTCCTTTTCATTCCTTCTTCTCTATTCTTATCTGCGTGTCTTATTTCAGAAAGATAGTCTTCATGCTCTGATATTTATTCCTCTGTTGGTGTATTTGGCTGTTGATACTTGTGATTACATTATGAATTTCTTGTGTTTTTTAGCTCTGTCAGGTAGTTCATGTTCTTATCTAAACTGGTGATTCTGGTTATCTGCTCCTGAAATATTTTATCATGATTCTTAGCCTCTTTGCGTTAGGTTAGAACATGCTCCTTTAGCTCAGTGAACTTGGTTATTATTCACCTTCTGGAGCCTCCCTTTGTCAATTCATCCATCACAGCCTCAGTCCAGTTTTGTGCCCTTGCTGAAAAGGTGTTGCAATCATTTGGAGAAGAGACATTCTGGATTTTTGAGTTTTCAGCATTTTTGTGTTGAATCTTTCTCATCTTTGTGGGTTTATCTACCTTTGATCTTTGAAGTTGCTGATCTTTGGAATGGGGTTTTGTGGGGTCTTTATTGTTGATGTTGTTGTTGTTGCTTTCTGTTTAACAGTCAGGACCCTCTTCCATAGGGCTGCAGCAGTTTGCTGAGGGTCTACTCCAAGCCCTAGCTTCCTTAGACCCTCTCACACCAAGAGGTATGAGCAGTGAATGCTGCAAAACAGCAAATATGGCAGCCTGCTCCCTCCTCTGGGAGCTCCATCCCAGGGGGGCACCAACTTGATGCCAGCAAGAGCTCTTCTGTCGGAGGTATCTGGAGATTCCTATTAGGAGGTCTCATCCAGTCAGAAGGAATGGGATCAGAGTCTGGCTCAAAGAAGTGTCAGGCTGCCCCTTGGCATACTGTATATGCTGCACTGGGTGGGGGGGCAACTCCCCATGTTCAGACCACCCGGACTTTCCCTAGCCAGCAGGTGGGAATGGCTGTCGGCTGAGCTGCAGGTACAGCAGCCACCCCTTCCCCGATGGCTCCATCCCAGAAAGAGATCAGAGTCTGTTTGTAAAACCCTGGCAAGATTTGTTGAAAATCCCATAGGGGGACCCTAACCAGTGAGGAGGGGTGGATCAGGGTCCCACTTAAAGAAGCAGCCTTGCTATGATCTGCCAGAGCAGCTGTATGGTGCTATGCTCTGAGAAATTTCTCCCAGTTCAGACTACCCAGACTCCTTGGATCCAGCAAGCCAAAAGGTAGGTTCTATCTGCAGAAATGTCACCCTTCCCCCCAGGAACTCATCATCTCAGGCAGTCTCCAGCTCACTGCCACAGGCTGGCAGCTGGGTTTCCAAGCCAGTGTGTCTTAACTTGTGAAGTGCAATGAAAATGAGGCCCGAAGAATGATGACAATTGGATCCCTAACTTCTGCTCCCTTTCAAGGGGAGTGCACGGAACATCTCCTATCTCACCAGAATTCCTGGGACCTGAGCATGCAAAAACTCCCATGTCTCCCATGCATCTGAGTGGTCACTGAGAGACCAGACAGCTCTATGCTTCAGGCCCAAGGCCCTACTAGCATGGGCTGATGAGGGGATCTCCTGCCCCATAGGTTGCAAAGATTCATGGGAAATTCAAGGAAAATCAGTGAATGACTATGTGGCCCTGCCTCATTTAATTCTCCTAGTTTCACACCCTACCTTGTTTTTCCTTGCTTTTGGGGTCACACTGACTGTCTAGTCAGTCCCAATGTGAGAACCTGGATACCTCAGCTGAAGATGTAGGGTTCACTTGATGTTTTCTTTCTTCTCTGTGAGAGCTGTGAACCTCAGCTGCTTCTAATCAGCCATCTTGGCCTAGGGTCTATCATGATGTACAAAATCACAATTAATTTAGATGTTACCTTACCAATAGAAATTTAAAGAATTCCTATTTGGCGTGAGATACGATTTGGCTCTGTGTCCCCACCCAAATATCATCTCAAATTGTAATCTCCACATGTCAGGTGAGGGGCCTGGTGAAAGGTGATTAATTCATCAGGGCAGATGCCCCCCTTACTATTTTTGTGATTGTGAGTTCTCATATAATCTGGTGGTTTGAAAGTATATGGGACTTCTCCCTTCTCTCTCTCTCTTTCTCCTGCTCTACCATGGTGAGACATACTTGCTTCCCATTTGCCTTCCACCATGATTTTAACTTTCCTGAGGCCTCCCAGTCATGCTTCCTGTGAAGCCTGCAGAACTGTGAATCAATTAAACCTCTTTTTTCATAAATTACTGAGTTTCAGGTAGTTCTTTACAGCTGTGTGAAAACAGACTACTACAGAAAATTGATACCAGGGGAGTGGGACACTGCTATATTGATACCTGAAATGTGGAAGCAATTTTGGAACTGGATAATGGGTAGAGGTTGGAACAGTTTGAAGGTCTCAGAAGACAGAATGATGTAGGAAAGTTTGGAAACTTCTAGAGACTTGCTGAATGGTCTTGACCAAAATGTTGATAATGATATGGACAGTAAAGTCCAGGCTGAGGGAGTCTCAGATGGAGATGAGAAACTTACTGGGAAATGGAGTAAAGGTTACTTTTGCTATGCTTTAGCAAAGAGACTGGTGTCATTTTGCCCCTGCACTGGAAATAGATGGATCTTTTAACTTGAGAGATATGACTTAGGGTATCTGGTGGAAAAAATTTCTAAGCAGCAAAGCATTCAAGAAGTGACCTGGCTACTTCTAAAAATGTATGTTCATAGGCATGAAGAAATAGATGGTCTGAAATTGGAACTTATATTTAAAAGGAAAGTGGAGCCTAATAGTTTGGAAAATTTGTAGCCTGACCATGTGGTAGAAAAGAAAAACTAATTTTCTGGGGAGAAATTCAAGCTGGCTGCAGAAATATATATAAGTTATGAGAAGCCAAATGTTAATATCCAAGACAATGGGGAAAATGTCTCCAGGGCATTTCAGAGTTCTTCATGGCAGCCCCTCCCATCACAAGCCTGGAGGCCTAAGAGGGAAAAATGGTTTCATGAGCCAGGCCCAGGACTCTGCTACTCTGTGCAGCCTCAGGACATGGCATCCTGTGTCCCAGCCACTCCACCTCCAACCATGGCTAAAAGGGGCCAAGATACAGCATGGGCCATGCCTTCTGAGGGGCCAAGTCCCAAGCCTTGGCAGCTTCCACGTGGTGTCAGGCCTGCAGGTGTGCAAAGGCAAAGAACCAAGGTTTAGAAATCTCCACCTAGATATTAGAGGACATATGGAAACACCTGGATGTCCAGACAAAAGTCTGCATTAGGAACAACCTCATGGAGAACCTCCACTAAGGCAATGTGAAAGGGAAATGTAGAGTTGAGCCCCCAGACAGAATCCCCAGAGTGGCATCAACTAGTGGAGCTTTAAAAAAAAGGGCCACCATCCTCCAGACTACAGAATGGTAGATCTACATGCACCTTAAAAGCTGCAGGCACTCAACAGCAGCCTGTGAAAGCAGCTGTGGGGGCCATATCCTCCAAAGCCACAGGGGCAGAGCTGCCCAAGGTGGTGGGAGCCCACCTCTTCCAACGGCATGCCCTGGGTGTGAAAGATGGAGTCAAAGGAAATTATTTTGAAACTTTAAGATTTAATGACTGCCTTGCTGAATTCTAGCCTTGCATTGGGCCTGTAGCTCCTGTTTTGGCCAATTTCTCCAATTTGGAATTGGAGCATTTGCCCAATGCCTGTACCCTCACTGTATCTTGGAAGTAACTAATTTGTTTTCGATTTTACAGGCTCTGAGGTAAAAGGGAAATAACTTGTCTCAAGTAAGACTTTGGACTGTTGACTTTTGAGTTAACATTGAAATGAGTTAAGACTGGAAGATTGTTGAGAAGATATAATGATATTTTGCAATGTGAGAAGGATATGAGACTTGGGAGGGGCCCGTGGTGGAATGATATAGTTTGCATTTGTGTCCCTGCACAAATTTCATGTCAAATTGGAGGAGGGACCTGATGAGAAGTGACTGGATCATGCGGGCAGATTTCCCCCTTGTGATTCTTGTGATATTAAATGAGTTCTCATGAGATCTGATCATTTAAAACTGTGTGACACCTCCTTCCCTCTCCTGCTCTGCCATGGTAAGACGTGCTTGCTTCCCCTTCACCTTCTGCCATGATTGTAAGTTTCCTGAGGCCTCCTAGCCATGCTTTCTGTACAGCTTGTGGAACTGTGAGTCAATTAAACCTCTTTCCTTCATAAATTACCCAGTCTCATGTTTAAAAATGCTGCTTCAATTATCATTTTCTTATGTGCATATTTTTGCATGAATGAATTTCCGTTAGGTTAGAGCTAGTAGAATTGCTGAGTATATACATACATTTTCATACACAGAGTCGAATTTCTCTCAAAAAAAGATCATGCTTACTTATAAAACTATCACAATGTGAAAGAATATGTGTTTTCTTATATATAATAAATCCTGGGCAAATATCAATGTATTTAATATTTGTCACTTTTAAGGGCAAAGATTAGCATTCCATTTTGTTTAAAATTTTAACTCTGTTATAACTAAGATTTGTATTCATTCTTTTAATATCTCCTATAAATTACTAATTTATATTTTATATTTTGTTTAGGTTTTGATTTTTTTCTTATCAATTAGAAGAAATTTTTGAAATATTTTGACTACTAATTCCTGGATATTTCAGATGACTTCTTCTAATGCACATAAAGTGTGACTACCTTATTGTTCCCTTTTCCAATCATTTAATTATATTACATATATAACAATATTGCATATATTCCAAATATTATATACAATATAATTAATTAGATATTATAACACCTAACAAGTGTTATATTAGAAGTATAACACTTTGAATACTTTTTCTTATCTAGTTTTATTTCCTAGGAATTTAATTTGAAAGTACCAATATCAGTGGACATCTTCCTTTTATTGCTAACTTCAATAGGTATATTTTTAAATATTTCATCATTCAGTTACAATGGAGAAAGAAGAGTCTCTTCAATAAACGGTGCTGGGAAAACTGGATTTTCACATGCAAAAGAATCAGATTAGTCCCTTATGTTACACTGTACACAAAAGTCTGCTTAAAGTGGATTTTTTAAAAACCTACATGTAAAACCTGAAGTCATCAAACTCTTAGAAGCAAAGGTGAAAATCTCCTTTGATAGGCCTTGGCAATGATGTTTCAAATATCATACCCAAAGCCCATGTTACAAAAAGAAAAATAAGTAAATAGGACTATATCAAACTAAAATGCTTCTGCACAACCAAGGAAACAATCAACAAACGAATATGCAGCCTATGGACTAGGAAAACAATAATTGTAAACCAAATACCTGATAAGAGGTTAGTATTCAAAATTTACAAAGAACTCTCTCAACTCAATAGCAGAAAAATAACCGTCTTAAAAAACGGATAAAGAACCTAAACACATATTTCCTCAAAGAAGACATAAAAATGGCCAACTAGTATAGGAGAAGGTGTGCAACATTACTAATCATCAGGTAAGTACAAAGTAAAATCACTTGGAATCACCTCACACCTGCCTGGAGGAATAGCTATTATTGAAAAGACAAGCAATAACAAATGTTGACAAGGATATGAATGAAAGATAATCCTACTATTCTGTTGGTGGGACACTAGATTGGTATAGCCTTTATGAAAGACAGTATGGGGGCTCCTAAGGAAATTAAAAATAGAACTCCTGATCTTTTTGCAGTTCATGAGCATGATGATAGGGTGTTCACACGAATGTGTGAGATGTGCCACCCTCTGAACCTTGCTATGATCTTGACACATTGCCTATCTGATCTGAGGAAAAAAAAAAAAACTACTCTATAATCCAGCAATCCTTCCTCTGGATATACACCCAAGGAGATGAAATCACCACCTCATAAAGATATCTGAACTTCCTTGTTCATTGCAGCATTATTCACAATAACCAAGATATGAAAAATGAAAACAACTTAATGCCCATTGGTGTACAAGTAGCTAAAGAAAATGTGGTATACACACATATTCATAAAGTTGACCCTTGAACAACACAGTTTGAACTGCACAGGTCCTCTAATATAAGGATTTTTTTGAACAAATATGTTGAACATTTTGTAAACATTCAAAATACTTGGGAAAAAAAAACCTGCAGACAAACCACATAGCCTAGAAATATCAAAAGAAAAAAGTAGTTATGTTATCAATGAATAAAATATATGGAGACACTATTTTATCAGTTACAACCATAAATATATAAATTATAAAAAGCCAACGTTTATCCAAACTTACGCACATACAGACCATTTATGATGCCATTTGCTGTGAAGAGAAATGTAAACAAATGTAAAAATGCAGTATTAAATCAACTACATAAAATTAAGTGTGTACTGTACTACTGTAATAACTTTGTAGCCACCTCCTGTTGCTATTGTGGTGATCACAAGTATTGTGAGTATCCACTTAAAGCCATATGACAAATCATTTCTGATGAGGATTTTCTCTCTGGTAAATTTCATATCACAGTAAAAAGTGTTATCTTGGGTGCTTGTGTATTTCTCATCATGATTAAGGCAATATAATAAAACTTGAATAACACCAGGGGACCCATCCAAAGTGCCACTAGTGATGCTGGAGGTGCTCCTGAGGAGGAGAAAAAAGCCATAGCATTACAAGAAAAAGTCGAATTACTTGATAGGTACTGTAAATTGAGATCTACAGTTGTAGTTGTCCAGCATTTCAAGACAAATGAATTCAGAATAAGAACGAATGTGGAAAAAAGAAAAAGAAATAAAATTTGGGAAGTTGTGGTACCCCTATGCAAGCAGGCATGAAACCTTTGCACTTTTTGTGAAATATATTTTCGTCTTATAATGAAAATACAGCTTTTATGTGGCTATATGATTGATATAAGAAAGGTATACTTAAAGACTCTAAAATGATTCAAGAAAAAGTAAAGTCATTATATAACAACTTAAAGCAAAAGAAAAGGTGATAATCTAAACCAGGAGAATTTAATGCCAGCAAAGAATGGTTTGACAATTTTATAAAGACCTTCAACTTATTAAAATGTCAACATAACAGGAGAAGCAGTTTCTGCTAACCAAGAGGCAGCAGATGAGTTCCAAGATGTCATTTTAAAAAATCACTGAGCCCTTTATGCTAAAAACCCTCAATAAACTAGGTATTGATGGAACGTATCTCAAAATAATAAAAGCTATTTAGGATAAACCCACAGCCAATATCATACTGAATGGGCAAAAACTGGAAGCATTCCCCTTGAAATCTGGCACTAGACAAGGATGCCCTCTCTCACCACTCCTATTCAATATAGTATTGGAAGTTCTAGCCAGAGCAATCAGGCAAGAAAAAGAAATAAAGCGTATTCAAATAGGAAAGGAGGAAGTCAAATTGTCTCTATTTGCAGACGACATGATTGTATATCTAGAAGACCCCATCGTCTCAGCCCAAATCTCCTGAAACTGATAAGCAACTTCAGTAAAGTCTCAGGATACAAAATCAATGTGCAAAAATCACAAGCATTCCTATACACCAATAACAGACTTAAAGAGAGCCACATCAAGAACAAACTGCCATTCACAATTGCTACAAAGAGAATAAAATACCTAGGAATTCAGCTAAGGATGTAAAGGACCTCTTCAAGGAAAACTACAAACCACTGCTCAACGAAATAAGACAGGACACAAACAGATGGAGAAACATTCCATGTTCATGGTTAGGAAGAATCAATATTGTGAAAATGGCCATACTGCCCAAAGTAATTTGCAAATTCAATGCTATCCCCATCAAGCTACCAATGACCTTATTCACAGAAATAGAAAAAAACACCTTAAACTTCATATGAAACCAAAAGAGAGCCCGCATAGCCAAGTCAATTCTGAGCAAAAAAAAAAAAAAAAAAGCAGGAGGCATCACACTACCAGACTTCAAACTATATTACAAGGCTACAGTAATCAAAACAGCATGGTACTGGTATCAAAACAGAGACATAGAACAATGGAACAGAACACAGGCCTTGGAGGCAACAGCACACATCTACAACCATCCAATCTTTGACAAACCTGACAAAAACAAGCAATGGGGAAAGGAGTCCCTGTATAGTAAATGGTGTTGGGAAAACTGGCTAGTCATGTGCAGAAAGCAGAAACTGGACTCCTTCCTGATACCTTACACTAAAATTAACTCCAGATGGATTAAAGACTTAAACATAAGACCTAACACCATAAAAACCCTAGCAGAAAATCTAGGCAAAACCATTCAGGACATAGACACAGGCAAGGACTTCATGACCAAAACACCAAAAGTATTGGCAACAAAAGCCAAAATAGACAAATGGGACCTAATCAAACTCCACAGCTTCTGCACAGCAAAAGAAACAGTCATTAGAGTGAATCAGCAACCAATAGAATGGGAAAAAATTTTTGCAATCTACCCATCTGACAAAGGTCTGATACCCAGAATCTACAAAGAACTAAAACAGATTTACAAGAAAAAAGCAAGCTCATTCAAAAGTGGGCAAAGGACATGAACAGACACTTTACAAAAGAAGACATACATGAGGCCAACAAACATGAAAAAATGCTCATCATCACTGGTCATTAGAGAAATGCAAATCAAAACTACATTGAGATACCACCTCATGCCAGTTAGAATGACAATCATTAAAAAATCTGGAGACAACAGATGCTGGAGAGGATGTGGAGAAATAGGAACACTTTTACACTGTAGGTGCGAGTGTAAATTAGTTCAACCATTGTGGAAGACAGTGTGGCGATTCCTCAAGGACCTAGACATAGAAATTCCATTTGACCCAGCAATCCCATTACTGGGTATATATCCAAAGGATTATAAATCATTCTACTATAATGACACATGCACACAAATGTTCATTGCAGCACTGTTTACAATAGCAAAGACCTGGAAACAACCCAAATGCCCATCAATGATAGATCGGACAGGGAAAATGTAGCACATATATACCATGGAATACTATGCAACCATCAAAAACGTTGAGTTCATGTCCTTTGTAGGGGCATGGATGAACCTGGAAACCATCATTCTCGACAAACTGACACAAGAGTAGAAAATCAAACACTGCATGTTCTCACTCATAGGTGGGTGTTGAAAAATGAGAACACATGGACACAGGGAGAGGAGCATCACACACTGGGGTCTGTAGGGCAGAAATAGGGGAGGGACAGCAGGGGATAGGGAGTTGGGGAGAGATATCATGGGGAGAAATGACAGATATAGGTGATGGGAAGGAAGGCAGCACATCACACTGCCATGTGTGTACCTATGCAACAACCTTGCCTGTTCTTCACATGTACCCCAAAACCTAAAATGCAATAAAAAAAAATCACTGAGGAAAAAAAAAACTGCCTAAACAGGTTTCTAATGCAGATGAAAATGCCCTGTTCTAGGGGGAAAAAATGCCACAAAGGACATTTATTAGTGGAAAAAAAAAAAGGGAGAGAGAGAGAGAGAGAGAGAGAGAAGCAAGCACCAGGACTTAATGCAGGAATGGATAGGCTAATTATATCACTTCATGCAAATGTGTTTGGGTTTAATGAGCAAGATTGCCTTTATCTATTAAGTTGCTAACTCCTGAGCCTTGAAGGAAAAAAAATAACACCAGATGACAATCTTTTGGTTGTACAACACAAAAGCCGGACAAGGACAATATTTTTTCTGAATTTAGTTTCAATGATGCTTTGTCCCTGAAGTCAGGAAGCACCTTGCCAGTAAGGGACTGCCTTGTAAAGATTTACTGACATTGGACAATGCGTCAAGCCACTCAAAACCCCATGAGTTCAACACCAAAGGCACTGAAGTGGTCTACTTGCCCTCAACATGTCTTTAATTCAGCCTTTAGAGGGGCCTTTAACTCTCATTTTATATGGTACTCTATGCAAAGTATTGTCAAAGCTATGGAAGATGTTCTCTACAGAGAATATGATGAAAGTCTGGATGACACCATCAAAGATGCCATCATTGTTATAGAAAAAGCAGTGAAAGCCATCAAGTCTGAAATGGTAAATTCCTGCTAGAGAAAACTGTACAGATGTTATACATGACTTCACAAGATTTACAACAGAGCCAATAAAAGGCATTATAAAAGAGATTGTAGATATAATAAAATGGGGGTGAAGGGTTTCAAGATATAAATGCTGGAGAAATTCAAGAGCTAACAGATAACACACCAGAGGCATTAACAGTAGATGATGTGATGGAGATAAATGTTTCCAAACCAGTGCCAGACAATGAGAGAGACAAGCAGTGCCAGAAAACAAACTGACATCAGACAATCTGACAAAAAGTTTCCAATTATTCAAGATTGCTTTTGAATTCGTTTGCAATGGGGACCTTTCTATGATATAGGCACTGAAACTAAAGCAAATGGTGGAAGAAGAATTGGCACTGTATAGAAACATAGTCCGTAAAATGCTTTCTTACACAGTCATGAAAAGTACTTTTTTTTACATCTTCAAAATCTTCTCCATAGCAAAATCTTCTTGCTTGTTTCTGATACTAGGTAGTTACTTATTTTTAGCTGGATCTTTTTGTTCTCATTGTTGGTCTATTGAGAAAACCATTTTTTGCTTTTATTGATCAAATCTACTATTGAGTGCTTTAATTGCATTAATTCCTGCTTATTAATTCTTGATAATTATTAAAAAGTTTTATTTTATTAGTTACTGCCTAATTAATGTCTTTATTCTCTTTGCTTGTTTTATTCTGGTTCATTACTTACTCTGGATTATTGAGTTATTATTTTAGTTCACTTATTTCATTTTTTAT